GGTCACTTCTGCAGAGCTGATACCTCAGTACATTTTCCCCCTTAATGATGTGATATCATTTCTTCCTTTTTAAAAAAGATTTTATTTATTTATTTGACAGAGAGAGAGAGCACAAGCAGAGGGAGGGGCAGGCAGAGGGGGAGGGAGAAGCAGACTCCCACTGAGCAGGGAGCCTGATGCGGGGCTTGATCCCAGGTCCATGACCTGAGCTGAAGGCAGACGTTTTAATGAATGAGCCACCCAGGCGCCCCAGTGGTATCATTTCTTCTCATCTTATTTTTAGTTGAAGTAAATTAACCCGAATGGCTATTCCTACACAGCCCCCCACACACAGAGAGACACACAAGCATTGCTATTCTTTAATTCTGTCTCTCTCTCTTCTTTCTTAGGTGGAGTCTTGAAATGTTTAGAGTTTTTCTAGGGAATAGGATTCTCTGACTATGCTAATGTAAAGTTTAGCCACTTTTGTCATGTTGATGTCTTCTTTCACGGATTATTGGACAATCGCTTGGGGCCTCTGGCCCAAGATCTCACCATGGTATCAACACTTAACCGGTCATAGAACATAATATGCCCACAGGTGTGGAAAGGGAGAACCACCTGCATTCTAGCCTTTGTCTCCCCCGAGCCAATTGAGAAGTTCCGAGGAGAAGCAATGCAAGAGTAACATGAATCTTCATTTGGCAAAATTAAGGCTAACCAAGGGAGACACAACCTGAGTGTCGGGTGTGTGTGTGTGTGTGTGTGTGTGTTTGCTTTGGGGGGAAAGAGTTGAAAAGTATTAGCTATAAAAACCATTAGCAATTCCTAGTTGATTCAAATCAGTCTCAACATTTTTCAAAAATCTCGCCTAGGTTCTTGCTCTATTTTAGGCCGATCGAGGATATTAATTCACACAGGGGGCTGTTTATTTAATTGTAGTAACAGTATATAAAGCCAATCTATCTAATCTCTTTTTTTTTTCTTTTCAGTTTTTAAATCCCAAATGGTGAATGGTGAGCAAGGCTGCTGGTTTTATAGCTTCGTGAATTAGTTCAGCTGAAAAATATTCTGGCCCTTTCCATTTGGGAGTCAGTGGGGCTGGGAAGTGGGGGTGGGGGTAGGGCAGGATTTGTTAGTCAGCACTAATCGGTTCTTGGCCTCTAGCAATTCTCTGTGGCAGAATAAAGGGAAGAGATAATTATTCCCCTTAATCACTGCATCAATGACTGCATTTAGAACCTCTCCTTAAAGGCTGACCAGATTTCCCAGAGAATATTCTCAACCCTTCACTGATCTGATTTTGAAGTAAATGAATGTTCTGAAAATATCTGCTAGCAGGGTTTTGTTCGCCTGGGCCTCTCAGAGACAAGGAAGCTCCAGTGGCTTCAGATGGGTGACCTTTCTCATATCTGTCACCAGGCTGCTAATGAGGGTGGGATTTTGCATCTTGGCAATGGGGTCTGATGGCAGGAATTACCAAGGAGCAGGATCCAAAGGCCAGTTGCCTTTACATCTGTTTCTCTCTCTCACTCTGGGCTTCCTTCCTTTCCCTGCTATGCCATTCTCATCTGAATTTGTGGGTTTGTGACTTTAGGGATGGATGAGTGAGAAGAAAAACAGGAGAGAAAGAAGAAAGAAGAACAGAGGCCACAATGTCACCATCTTCCTGAAAGGAATTTGGGGCCTTTCTGGGCGTATGAAAATACACGCAAGGAAAACACATGGCTCTAACTTACTTTCCTCTCTTTGGTCTGTCAGTACAGGAAGGTCAACGTCTTTGCGGAAATCAAGCTGAATTTCAGGAGCTCAGTGTGTCAACAGGTCTTGAAAAATACGCTAGCCTCCCCACGATTCCTGTTTCCTGAGATGCTCCCCAAATTCTCTTTCCTGATCCTGCCTGTCCTTCAAGGTTTCCCTCTTCCACGAAGCCTTTCTTTATTTTCTCAATTTAAAAAATTGTTAAATTTATTTTATGATGTTGTTACTTTTTTTTTCCCATGAAGCCTTTCTGTCTACCCTTCTACAACAGGTAACACTTCCTCGTGGTGAGTTCACCGAGTGCGCCCTAAGTTTATCTTGCCTCATTTATTTCTGTAAAGGTGTTAATTAATTATAGAGACATATACTTACCAATTAGTTTCCAGAGAAACAGGAGTGCTCAGGGAAGTCTAAGGAATGAAAAAACAAAACAGAAAACTAAAAACACTTGCCCTTTGTTTCAGAGCCCAGAGGGAGAATGAGAGGGGGGTGTAGTGAGTCTAGGAACTGGGAAACAGCTGGGAATTGAAAGCTAGCTCTGGGAAGGACTTCCATGCTGGGTGACTCTGGGTCACTGACTTGACTACTCTGGGCCGGTTTCTCCAATGGTAGGTTGGAGATAATCCCAGGATCACTTTGTACTTTATCATGAGGTGAAATGAGTCAATCTATGTGTAAAATTCTTAGAACATTGCCTGCCCCATCACACAGTAAGTACTGTATTGGCCTTAACTATTATTATTACGACCCTGGTAATATTGTAATGTTCGTCCCTCCTTGTCTTTGTGCGGGCTGCCAGAATGCTCACTTAAAGAAGTAGCATACAGCATTTTTTTTTTTTGAGTGAATTGGGGAACATCATCCCTATCTTAATCCTGCACCCATATTTGTCTTCTGCTAGTACTGTTTCTCTAAATTATTTTAATGCATTTTGGGGTCTTATATGCAATTTTTTAAACTGCCATGAATCCTTTTTGAAACAAAGAAGGGCATCAATCCATATATAATCAAGCTTTGTATTTCCAGAGAGCTTTCTATGCGCACGCTCTTTCTCTGCCACCACGTGGTAACCATGCTAAGGCAGAAATCACATCTTCAGTCCCTCATGTCCTCTGTAGCTCTTTGAAGTTCTGTTTGTACGTGATAGGATTGAGTGATTTGTTGCTCTTTTGACATTTATGGGTTGCTATTACTGATGTGTTGTGTAATATTGTTAGTATCCATTGCCTAGAGTTAGCACGGGGCCAGAGGGGAAGAGTTGTATTTTGCATTTCACTTTATCTGATTTCATTAGAGCTGAACCCAAAGACATGAAGTATCAGGATGTCCTTGAGCCTTAGCCCACTGTACTTCAGGACTTAGGTTTTCTCTTAGCATCCATGGTAAGACATCCTGCAAGCAATCCATACAGAGTCTGAATTCTCTAGCCATGTGGAAAGGAACTGTGGGTTCATTTTATTCAACCTCTTCTTTTCTACTAAAGAGAAAAACTGAGGCCCAGAGAGTTGGCATTTGTTTGGGGTTGATAATAAACTCAGAGTCAGAAACAGGTTCTCTTTAACTTCATGTCTGCTCTCGTTGCTCAAAGTACAATTATTAGAAAATGTTCCTTTACTTTTGTTTAAGTCCTGTGGTAGCATTTCTAGCATGTTCCTTAGGATTACTTAAGTAAACTCATTAGTAAGGTTAAAATAATGTGTGCGTGTGTGTGTGTGTATGTGTGGGTGTGTTGGGGGGATGGAAGCTGATGTTTCTTATTTTCAGAAAATCTTTCCAGTTTCCTACATCAACACCAAAGCCGCAAAAGTTGCACAGATCCATCTACGAGAGAGCAATCAGAAACAATCTAAATGTCCATCGAGAAGGACCATTCTAAAATAAATTGGGGTACATCCATAAATATGAGGGGACATTTTGCTTTCATGACAGAGACATGAATCACTGATGCTACGACCATAGTTAATATTTACCGAGCATTTATTAAGTTAGATACTAAAAGCCTTACATGGAATATTTCATTTAAGCCTGAGAAACACAACAAGATAGGTTCTATTTTTCCTGGGGCTTAAAAAGTTTGAGTAGTTTCTCATTTCACTCTAAAGTTTTTTTTCTCCCCCAGAACCTATGCACTTTATCCTTTTGCTCTCCAGCTTATGTGGAAATGTCTGCAATATGCCGTTGTGAAAAACAGAACAAAGCTGGTACATACTATTTTTTGTATGTGCTTAATTATGTGTGGGTGGGTGGGTGTTATCTGTATTCAAGCGTCAGAGTTTTTGGAACTGTATACACCAAAACCATTCACCTATTATCTGGGCAGTGGGTTAATGGATGGTTCTCACTTTCTTTTTCTACATCATGGGAATTATTTCCTAGTTATTATATATACATGCATACCCACGTATAACTCTTTAAAGTTATAATTTTAAAGGTAAATAAAATAATAACATGAAAAGCAGCAACGAAGCTGCCAGTTAGAAAGGGAAAACCCTATCAAATGAATTATTAAGACCTTCCTCTAAAAAAGGCACCCTAAAAACTTGACTTCCCTAATTCAGCTTATATTTTCTTTTCTATTTTTCAAAGTAGCCTGTGGTGGGAAACATAGGCTGCGGTCCCCTTCTAGATACCGTCCAGCCCTCTGAATGTGGGATGAAGACAGGCAAGGCAGTGTTGCTGGGGGTGGGGAGGGGAGGTTGTGCTTCAAGACCCCCGTCTGAACACCCAGCTCCAAAGCTTCCACTTATGACCCTGGTTCAACCTGCCTTGATTTTCCACAGGGAAGCCAAAGTGGAAATTAGTCTTTGGAAAGGGATTTTCAAAGTAGACTTCACTCAAACTCGGCAAATAATTAACTTTTCATCCTCTCATAAAATTTAGACTGTGGCTGGTTCAAAGCCCAGGACCCCGGGCCTTAATTGAATTGACTCAGTTTTCCATCCTTCTGAAGGATCATTCCAAACCATAACATTTAGCCAGGGCTGCCCTTCCTGGCGAGAACATAAGTGCCCATTGAAAGGAGGATCGCCGAGTCAGGACTGTGGCACGCAAATTGGGCCGGAGTGGAAAATGGGACACTCTCCGAAGGGGACAAAACACTTTCTGTTTCCTACGCTTTAAAGTTCAGTTCGAAGGCATCTGCGCACCACCGTGTCCCGGCCAAAGCAAAGAGAGCCACCACTCCACGGCTCCCCGGCCACTGCGCTCATCCTGACCCTCGGGGCCTCCTTCTCCACGCCGCGGCCTGCCCATCACCTCCTCTCAGACCCAATTCGCCCCTGCCCTCCCTGATTTTGGCCTCACTCACGTCCTCCTCTACAAACAAGTCCCTGGCCCCCTGCCTTCTGAAATTAACCCACATTGCCGATTTCAGATCAAAATTTGTTATGCAAACAGGAAGCCCCAAAGGTCGAGATGGGAGTTATTCTCCAAAACCGAATGAGTCGAAACAAGACATTCTCTTGTTATTGGATTGTACATCAAACAACTGCATGTGCACGAGGAGCTGAAATAACCATAACAACAATACGCAGAACAATGGGCTCCCAATTAAACTGTAGGACCCCTGAGGGCAGAGCACCAGCTCCTCGTTACCTTCTCCAGCTGCCTTGGCACCTCGCTCCGCATGACTCACGTGCTCAGTAAATACTGGGTTGATGACACATTGTCTGCAGAGCAAGAAGAGGACATCTCCCATGCCTGAAACCTGGCACCATTTAGATATGAAAATGTGGCTTTCAGTAATTTTAAGTTCTTGAAAGCTAAATTATAAAGCAGTTAGACGTATTTTTTTCCTTTTCTTTTGAAATCTTTCTGGTCTTGGACTGAGAGGCTTTTGCAGTTGAGGTAATCTCTTAAAGACCACTGACATCTACTCAACCACAGAACATTCAGGCACGCTGAACCTTGGCATTGGTGATCCGCAGAAGGAAATGTAGAATTAACTTCTAATATTGAAGCTGACACTTCGGCTTCATCTCCGGGATGTTGCAGGGAAGAGTCTCTCTGTGTGGGATGAGAAATAGAATTTGTAATTCAAGGTCAGTGGAGGAAAACCCCTGGGTTTATTTTATTTGGACTGTGTTTCCATGATGTCGCTGCCGAACTGAGTTTTTTATTTGCGCCGGTTTATGTGGTGGATCTCTGCGAACCCCATTTTGAAAGACACTGTTGTGGTACCTGGAGGCTTTGGAGGTGATTCTCCAGCCGGCACAAATATGATTGGAAGGCTATGCTTATGGATTTATAAAAGAGTGATTAAGTTCCATATCAAAGGGAAGTGCCTTCCTGGAAGAGGATGGGTTAAAGTCCAGAAACTCAGCCAAGCTTCCAGGGAATTCTGCCCCTTTTTTTTAGCTCTCCCCCTGCAGCCTGGTCCCCACCTACTCCCCCTTCTGCTTCTGCGTCAGTCCCTCCTTGCTGCTCCAGGCTAAATGTCTTGCTGTCCAGTTCTGGTTCTTAGGCACTGCATTTTGCCAGGCTACCTTTTCACCCCAAATGTTCTTCAACAATTGGGTCTATCAGTTTTAAGGAAAAGTACATGAAAATAGTAGAAGCATATGGAAGATGGCAACCTGACATTTTATGGAGAGAAAAGCGACCTTTATAAGAGATGGTACTTCTGTGTAAATATCGAATAGCTGAACACGGGTGGCTGACCTGCCAAGTTAGGAGTCGCTCGTTTGTCTTTATTAGGAAAGTAAAATTAGAGTTGAGAGTAGCTGGATCTTCAGGATTCCTCTCAGACAAGGAAGTGGTGAAAATGTCCACTCTTTATTGGGCATATCTGACAGCAAACAGGAGCGCCTAGTCTCTCTGGCTTGTCATAAGCCTGACTGTCAACTCTGCATAAATAAGAGGGTGTGAGACTTGATGTGGGAAGCAGGTGAAGAGGAAAGTATACAGGAAGCATCATGGATGTTAGAAGGGGGACTGGATGATGATGACCATGACAACTGTCCTGAATTGTGTTCTTTTTTATGTGCCAAGCTCTTTTGCATGCTTTATCTCATTAAATCCAGACAACAACCCCATGCAATAGGATCTGTTCTTAACCTAATATTATAGGGACAGGGAAAAGTCACTCTGTCCAAACGACAGAGTCTGGATTCACACTTAAGTCTAGCTGACTCTAGAGTTTACATTCTTAATGAGCCTGGACTTTAGGAAGCCCACTACAACATTACTTCTCACTTTTTGTTTCCAGTTCTCCTCATTCATGGTTGTTTTTTTTGTTTTTTTCCCTTTTTAAGTACTTTTCCACCTGAGCCTGGTTCTTTTCTTTGGGAATAAATGTTTAGAGCTAAATTAGGAAGTGTTGGGAAGGAGTTCTTCCCATAAGCAAGAGCAGAAAGGCAAATGCCTGCAGCCAGCCTTGCCCAAAGGGGAGATGGACATGCTCTGTGCATTTCCCCTCCTGAGCTTTGTAATGTTTGGAAAGCCACCTTCAAATTTTAATCCTTCCCACCCCAGACTTTGCCATTCGAAACAATCTCCCCCTCCTGGTTAGCTACTATCCTATCAATTTGATATTGACATTATTAGAGCCATGGGATATCCCTGTTTTTCCAGCAAAAGAAATGGACCGCACTGGGACAAACACCCAGTCTTTCCTGACTTTCTAGCTGGGTGGTGCGGCATTAAGAGTGGCTTGGTTTCCAGTCACAGAGTTTATTTAAATCTTGGTTGGAAATCTCATCTGCTCTGAGCCTTGGTTTATGCACAGATCCATAAGCCAGGAGCAGTAATAACTACTTCAAGGGGTGCTTAGGAAGTCTAAATGAAATTTTTTTTTTTAATTTGAAATATCTCTATGAAAGTTCCTGGCATATCAAAGGTACTCAATGAATGTTGTGTGTTATTAGCATTATTCTTATGGTTGTTTTTTTTTTTTTTTT